TTTTTTTGTTCGTTACCAGAGCTAACTTTCTCTTAGGCTTTTTTGGTTTGAAGTAGAGACGATGATCGATCATTCGTAATCAATCATATGTAAGTTAAAAAAAATCACCATCTCTAGTTTGAAGTCGGCATTTTTTTTTGATCCATTATGGTTACGTTGAGTCAGGATTTGGGATCTTAATATTTATTTGAGATTTGGGATGATTTTATTATGTTAGGTTTGGAATTTGTGTTGGATTGAGATCTGGGGTTTGAGATTTTGGATTACTGATAATTATAATAACGCGTTTTTAATTTAACTTATTTATAATAAACTCACGGCTTTTATAACACTTCACAGAATAATAAAGTCGCAGAATCTCAAATCACAAAGATCATAATAAAATATATATATACAGTATTTGGGTTTATTATCTTTAATAAAGATGAAAGTAATAAATTTAAGGAAGCTATTATTATTTGCCTTAATTTTTTGTATAGTACTGATACATCACAGTTTATTATCAGTAAAATATAATATTTATTTGTACATTAATTACTTTTAATATTTTTAAACTTATCTAAGGTAAATTGTGGTATAATGGCACATAGAAGTAATTTGGCGCACTGAAAATAACTCATAAAAACAAGATTTTTTACTAAGTAAGTCGAACTTCATCCACTAAGTAAAGTTATTGAAAATACTCTTTATTAGATACATTCAAATTTTGATACGATTTGGTTAATCGATTTTCACATTTTACGTCCTGGGGTGGAAATTTTGCTTTTTGTACCTAACATATAATGTGATAAAAAATTAGCCAAATTGTATCAAAATTTGAATGTATCTAGAAAATAGTATTCTTAATAACTTTACTTAGCGGATAAAATTCGATTTGCTTAGTAAGAAATCCTGTTTTGTGTAAAAAATTATTTGGCAAACTTCACTGCAGCATTGTGATTATTTCGAACTCATTTGCTGATTGGTTGATTTGCTAATTTTTTTTTTTTTTAACCGTTAACGCATTTTCGTGTTCAACTTTACTGACCCTCAAAGTAGTTTTTTCGAATCCCCGAATAGGTATTCTTTTCATGACAATTCAGTTTTCTTCCCTTCTTTTTGTACATATTTTTTTTTTTGTACCAGACTTTTTTTTATAGGTCTTGCTTGATTTCAAGACAAATTAATACCAGAATAGACAACTTGGGTGAACTTCTAGAGAAATGGGTTTGGTTCTGTCTACAGTAAGTATTAAACGGATCCCCAAGCACAAGTTGCCCTAACAGCAGCTCCTTTACCTATGCATCCACAACACCCACTTCAACCGCAATATTATAATAATCTTTGGCAAGTACATGAAATATGATACGGTGTTAGTTTTTATTTTTTATTTTTTTTTTAATTTTTCTAACTAAACTTTTTTAAAAATCTTGCTTGGTTTCAAGACGAATTGTTATGAGTATATAGTCATTATGGCATAGTATAATGAGCAGTTAAGTCATAAGTCCTGGGTATAGCTATAGTATGGTTTTGTTATGATACCAGAGTTTTGTAATTATTATGTAATTTTTATTTAATAAATTTTAAAACTTTTCGTTATTGCAATTGCAATTACAAAATAATTTTACCCGAGTAGCACATAGGCAATTCTTTATTCTTTTTTAATAAGTCGGTCCCTCTCAAATAGTGCTTTAACTTTTGCTAATTCGGGTATTTGATAATAGGTCACCTTTTCCGTATCTTCATTTATTGCGGCGAATATTTGATGATGGATCACCTTTTCTGTATCTTCATGTTTTGTGATGGATATTGGCTGATAGATCACCTTTTCCGTATCTTTATGTCTTGTAATGGGTTGTTGAATGAAGCGTTTTTTGATGCGTTGCCTATTAAGTTTTTCTTTTTTATATGAAAGATTTCGCCTAGGCGGCATCTTGTTGAGCGAAAAGTATTAATAGATAACAAAAAAAAAAGTATGTCCGACAGATGTTTAAAGAGATGCGATCTGACTATTTGTTAGATTAAATTATAGCAGAATGATAGCGAATTGCATCTTTAATGTTGTTTATATAGATTATTCATCAATTGTTGATCGTTAGTGAAACTTAGGCGACTTGAAATTAAAACCTCGTTTAACGTTATCCCACCCTCCACTTACAGGTCTCTCCCCAAAAATTAAACAATTAATAAAGTAAAAAAAAATTCCGGTTAATCATCTTTAGATTTGACTTTAACCTGATTTAGGTTCTGATGAACCTAAGTTTGGTTCAGTTGAACCTAGTTTAATTTTATTGTTTGTTTAATTTTTCCCCTTCCCCATGCAAACTTTTTAGAAAAAGTAACGTTAAACGAGGTTTTAATTTCAAGTCACCTTATCAGAATAATAAAAAAAAAAACGTGGTAATAAATACACCATCAAATTTATGGACAGTAATGGTCGTGATTGCATACAATCATAAATTTGATAGTTTCAAACTCTTTTCTGGTAGAATCGCTGAAAACATATAAGTTATTATTGATGCAATACGATTATTAAACTATCAAAACTGGTTAGCGACTTGATTTAAAAGACGATTATCTTATAACTAAATCTTGTATGTACGTACATACCATATTAGGTTAATAAAATTATTTAATTAAAAAATAATAACAACAATATTGTCTATCTTTACATGCATAGCATTGCGTAAAGCTATATAAAAAGCTACTGTTACTATTGTTTTGGGAGAGCTTATAGAACTATCGGCACAATTTAACTCCAATAGTTAACTTTATATGTTCTTTGTGAGAACCCAAAGTAATATAATAATAAATAAAGTCGATTATAATAATAACTTAAGCACGTGAGTTTACGTAATTAATCTGAGATCGGGCACTTAATTATATCTACCGGTAATCAATCAGTAAATAAATCAAGTTATGTAATCGTAATTAAATAAATCAGTAATATCGATAGCTAATCAATACAACCGATAATAAGGGTCAATACTTATAAGGTAATAAAGTAATAGGGTAATAATAAAATGTATAATACGATCGTGAAGAGCC